GTTACATTCTATGGTTTCTGGGTCATCATATTTTTTATCACGAGCATTTTCGGTTCAACCTATCACAGGATAGCCCAAGTCGACGGATCCTGGCCTTCAGCTGTCCACATCACCACTGCAGCTCTATGCTTCCACTGTTGCTCTGCTTTAATTGCAGTTTGCATAAATGCTTACAATATTACTACTTACACTGAAAAATAAATAGAAAGCGATACACTTATTTTTTGAATAATTTAACTTATTATCATTATGTATTTTTCCCTCGTTTGCACGAAAGAAAGGGGTCGAGGACAAACGAAGCGACGGAATGTATTTATCCTTCAAGCGCAGTTTTTTATGTCCCTGAATCGGGGTTGTAGAGGTTCCTTCGCAATTACATATTTTTATTAATAAGTACCTAATGGAAAAGAAGAGTTATCACTGTCTGAAGTTTAGAGTACAAAAAACTATTACTTTAATCGATGGTACTCGTACACTCAAAATATTGGACCACCCTGCAAATATCTAATGAAATATGAATAGTATATGTGAAGCATATACTGTGAAGGATCCTTCGATTTTAGAGATAAGATAGATAAGTTTTTTCGAGTATATTGCTATTAAACATTCCCTCTGAGGGTGCTCTAGCGAAAAAACATGTAACATCAGGACCCAAATTGACTTCCACAAGCAATTGTCAGCATGGCCATAACCTAAACCAAACGCCATATTCGGTGAGATGAGACGCATATGACACGTCGAATAATGGATAAATAGAAAAATCGTTTGCACACGAATTATTGCCTATTGGTAATTATTATTAAATATGAGTCGAGCAGTAGAAGGACTAACTCCCACAATGATACGCAGCCCTATAGGGTTACTTAACACGCTTCTATGTATATAATCGTATATTCTAAACGAGCAAAAAAACTAAGTAATCAAGTGAACCTTAAAAAAACGCATAAACATAAAGCAAGATAAACGCAGTGTTGTGGCTGGACAGATCCCACTTGCTCAGTTCGCTACTGGAAGCCTTCCTTTTGTATTCGCAATTCCTAACCTAACCTAACCTAACGTAAACCCACTCAGAAGAATCAAATCAATCTCCTAAATAAAACAGTTTACATAAACGCTGGTTCTGTGTGATCTGAAAAAGGTAAGGGTTCATCCGTACATATTTTATTGAATTATTAGACTTTTCTTAGGAATGAGTAGAAATTCCTATATAACGATGGAAATATCTTTTCTTTTATCGACTGTACGATAGACAAACAAGTTAAAGGAACAATCGTAAACTAAAATCTTTTTTAAATAAAATAATTGCGTGTAATAATCTCGAATTATAATAGTTAATAATGACAGCCAATCACAAAACAGATTTTCAGTCATTAGTGAGGTGGCACGAAAAAACAGAAAATATACACATTGTCTACTTAGTAGAGCTTTGACACAACAGAATGCGAAAATAAACCCCCGTGGTGTGGTGCATGGTAGAGACAAGAGCAGATTTATAGCTAAAATAACAAGGTGGAAATCTTGCATAGGTTTGTCCAACCGACATGCAAGTAAAGAGTATTATATATGACCCGTTTTTCACAGCTAAAAAACTAATATAATTTTTGTGCCATAATGAACCGATTCTACTGAGAGTTATCTATAGGTCGCCAGATCATCCTTATCTAAAGTTTATTGACAGAACTCAGAACTTTTTTACAGAGTGGCACAGGGAGTGCCGGCCGCGCTGGACTTACCTTGCTCAACACAGATGTTATATAGTTGCACCAATTCAAGTTTCCCATTCTCACAATTAAATCTTATTTAGAGAACCACCATACTCGCCTGTCTTTAAATAATCGATCACATGGAATCTTGAGTAAGTTCGCACTTCCATTAGCGGCCATCTAGCTGCCCGGTGCTCACTATATATTCAGCTATATATTGCCACATGGATTCACAAGCGTATAATAATTACGATCCGGGTTATTAAATCAGTTTTGGCAATTATTTACAATATAACAAGTATTACTTTCTATGACTCTCTCAAATTCATTGTTAGAGGGCGCACTTATTTCTTTAGGCTGTCAGCGACGATTGCAGTTCTCATCTGAACTGTCATATCTAAGGTACTAAAAAGATTAGAGATAGAAACCCGTTTTTGACGACCCGATTATGTCAAAACGTAGAAAAATCGCGAATATATTTTGCATGGATGTTATTGGCTTTTCCTAAAAGAAACTTTCATTTGAACAGTGTGAGTAAATGTATGCCACAAAATCTCAAGCTTCAACCTGTTACGCAGGTTGAGGCGTAATCACTTCCAAAAAGTATTAGAGGTTCCCTGGCAGGCCACAATACTATTTAGACACATGTGTCTCTTAACTGAAAAACATAACTACAGCAAATACATTTCTTAAAGAAGATTCACATCTATGTCCTTAAAGTTGCCCGTCTTACTCCAAACTGACACCTTATAGATGGCATTATAGATGGATCAGCGTGCTTAGTGTCCTGAACAAAGTAGGTAAAAAAAACTCTATCCAAACCCTATCTATCTAAATTTGGATTCAAGAAGTCATATTGTCTTGAGGCTGGACCTGCTTCAAACTAGATAAAAGCGATGCTGTGCAGCCTTTTGGTGGATTTGCATTATGCGTTTAGTGCTGCATAGGTAGGTATATAACTATATATATGTTCAAATGGGTGGAATATACATTTCACTCTCTGTTAGTTTATTTTTCAGACGGGTGGTTGTTTTTGGACCTGGGTTACGTACAATTATTTGGGGGCCACGGAGGATGTCTCACAGGATTTCTGCACCTTATAAGACCGAAAAAGTCATCACGTATACTGATGACACAACGATTAGGTAAGTTAATTGGGTGCATTCAAACATCTGAAGAGACACTGGAACTCTCGTTTGATGAATGAAATAGCGATTAGCGAGAAATCAATGTGGGCCGTTCCAGGTCTAGCCGAAGTAAACATTTAGTAATGAATAGGCGTTGCTGAGTCTACAAATGTCTAACGATTAAATGCGATCAGCGTTAAGATATGACTCGCAGTTTCATCGCCATTGAGTTCGCAACCCGGTACGTAAAAAACGCTTTGGGTGCTTCAGTCTGTTGCAAAACGCTTTTATCATCTTGATCTAACTTAGGTGAAGTCTTGATCCGTATCCTCAAAGGATCCGCCTAAACATGAAAACCTCGAGCACAAGATTCGATGTGTTCTCAAATAGCTAATTTCTGATTAATACTTAAAAAACATCCAGATCTTCTCGGTAATGTGGGTTGACAGTCAGTCTCAACATAGCCTAACATCGTATTTCACAGTACAAATGCGTATTTGGTACAAAGGATGTTCTACCATGAACATTTTACCACAAAGGTTGTAGTTCATACTTGCGATGATGTCCTTATTTCCTACTCAATCAATCGCAAACTTTGACCTATTTGTGATATTCATTGTTTAGATTTTATTAAGAGTTTCCTTTAATTTTAGTAAATAAAAATAATAATTGTGTTTGCATATTGATTTTATTTGGTCAGTGATATTAACATATACGTTAGTTTACAAAAAGGTCGCTTTTCTGTTTCAACACCTACCTAAGCATAATACAAAATTTAAGTAGTTCAAGTCTGATCGTATTATATGCTTTTTTGTTCTAAATATCATCATTTGCTATTCCTAATTCTAATGTATACCTAAAAAAGTCATTTTCGTTTAATGTGTGAAAGGTAGAAAAGTTCCTTTTATTTCTGAAAATTCGGACCCGTTATCAGAGTGTGATACACAGTTAGCCCAGTGATTTGGAATATAATCTTAGACCGATGAGTAGTACAGGTAACTTCCCTAGGTTATCGACAGAGTTGTTATGATTAGGTTTTCTTTGCCTCTCGTTATACCTAAATTACAGCAGAAAATAGATTGAGGAGCTAAGAAAACCGCTGACACTTCCAGAATACATTCATACAAGCTTCTGTTCCCTGATAAGCCATTGTTCTTCTAAGTTATTCACTCCATATATATATATATATATATATATATATATAGATATATATATATATAATAACAATTTAAAGCTGAAGACAGTAAAGGTTGTTTAAGCTAACATTTAACCTCTTCCTCTTTATTCTTACTAAATCAGTACATATACTCATGCTTATTCACCTGCATATGCAACCATCTTAATAAAACCATTTAATCAGTGCCAGTAATAATCAATGAATATGGAATAAACATCTGATCTGTGGTGTTTTTCCACGCGATCCAAGTAGCCGATCACCGATTGCTGTTCCAACTCCTCGTTGTAACCAACATAGATTTCCATTCCTTTTCATATCGACGAGATCCGTCAATATGGGTATATACATATCTGTCCGTTAACATGCGTTTGAATAATAGATGTTGCTTAGGTTTAAATAAGGACGAAACTACACTGATATGAAATATTTTGCGGTAATATCCGTCCACTTTGAGAACAGGGTTGTGAACTTCTAAACATCGATTTTTCTACGGTACAGTACCTGTGTACCCAGCACGCAGAGACCAGCCGACCCGGTTTTGAATCAACTAAGCTTTTGTGTGTGTATATTTTGTGTAGTCGGTCCATATTATATAGATGAAAGTATATGCACACGATAATTTCTGTACGGTCTCTGATCCTCTAGAACTACTTCCATAGCAGAATGTCCTACAACGTGTATAGAGTGCTCAGCTATCATTGATACTAACGGTTCAGTGCAGCAGTTTCTGTCCGGAAAATTTTTATTTTATTTGGTAAGCTTCTCTCTTGTTTATGCTTTCTTTATGTCCACCTGATTTCGGCCGATCTGCGAAAGCTATCCTTTCAACGCAGCCGCATTTCAGTCATCTGGCGTATGTTCGAGCACGCTGAAGGCTTGTCCCCGTACGAACCGTCTTTCTCTTGTTGTACGTATTTTCTAGCTATCGAAAATGGTTGTCGATGGCCTGACTACTATTGCATATGGGGTTGTTTACAAAGCTGGTTTAAGAAGTCACAAGGGTGCAGCATGGCCAATAACGGCGCAGGCGACCTGTGCGCCAGCATTTCCGGTGCTCGAGGACAACTCATTTCCACACTTTCCGAGATCGTCAGGATCGGCGTGCACCTATACGATAGCAAACCGATAGACAGAGGGAAGATAAATTAATTTTCGACTTTAAACGTATTACTAATATAAATTTTCGTGGAGAAATTGCGTATTAGCTTAGTTACTATCTGTCGTAAGGAATTTATTCTGAGAGTAAGCATATTCTCAGTACAATAATATACCCGTATATATATATATAGTATTCCTTATTTTCAGCATACTAAAGGTACGTAGTATCATACGTATGAGTGTTCAAAGAGCGCAAGTAATGATCATAATAGAATGCTTTTTAGACTGCGAAATCAGTAAAGGGATACTAACAACGAGTGAGCGTCCGATGATATTGCGCTCATTATCGAGGGCGATTCGTTTGTCGGTAAAATTAATAAGAGCCCTACCGTTGGCATCAGTCACCACATTACCTAGATCACCAACGAACGGACCTGTCATTTATGAAATGCAGAGAATTAATGTAAGAAACGATATCGTTAAAATCGTTAACGGTATTATCTGCACTTACTGCAAGTTATATACATATGTATATGTATATATACATATGAATTCATATATATATATATGGAGAAATACCACGTCTGAGGCTATATGAGTCGCCGTGAAACACTCGATCCTGCCAGCGAACAATAAACCTAAACCAGCTCGTTTTACTTACTGACGGAATGTTTCTTGAGCGGCTGGCTTATTGAAAGTAGCTCCTGGCGGAGTCCAATGTAAAGAAGCACCAACGGTAGACTAGGGAGTGCGAGTGACTTGCAAAAGAACGGAAATGGCCATCGAATTGCGTCGTAAAATCGGCGCGTAGGTATCTGTAAGGAATGGCCCGCGCAATTTATTTTGAGACGCAGGGGAGACGGTGGAAGCCTAAAATAAAGGTTAAACGAGCGCTTTCTCGGTGTTAGCCGGCCTGCCGGAACAGTTGTTCTGTCGTTACAGGCGAGTTCGAAGATGCCAAGCGGTCTTTGTTAGAACTCGAATGTGAAACTCGAATTTAGTGAGCTCGCTAGCAGTCCAAGAACGGGAAGATCAGGACCTTTTGCGAATTGTTTTACCGCGACAAAGATAACCTATTAGGCTTAGTTGGTCCTGGTTGTGCGACATTTTATGCTAGGGGAATATGGCACCTTCTTGTTCTCTTAAGCAAACTGTAACAAATCTTCATTATGTGGGCATTATCAGAATCGACGATGAGTATAACTTGGAAATACTGGTCATCCCATTAGTTCTACCATAATGAGTTTTTATAATAGTGCCGATCTCACGGCAAACTAGCAGCTGATGAGCCATTGTTGGGCAGCAGTGAAAAGGTTGGGCCACCTCTCAGTCACGCGAGGTGCCCTGTACCGTTCCGGAAAGAAGAAATTTCGATCCGTGTTCAGTGGTTTCACTTACTACCACGAAAGTCTCCCGGTAACTTTGAGTAATTGCTAGTAATCGACGCTGACTGAAAGTAACGAATGATATTGCACGTACCAGAAGAAGAAGCTGCTCAGATAGGGCCCCAACCAAGCTTTTTTTCCGACTCATCAAAATATTACTAAGACTAGCTGTAGTATAATATTGCAACAACGGCTTTGGGCCCATTAAGTTTGAGACCTAAATAGCGGAGTGCTTAAAGCTCGCTAACCATAGTACTCACTATAAAAACGGCCGCCAGGAGCATCGAGGGGGCGAAATAGCCAGGCTATTCCAGCAGATGTACGCAGGATCGTCCATTCTACGAATCAGCAGGTGGGTTATTTTAGTTGACACATAACTCAAGTCGGAACGTGTCAAATGCTGCTGTACGCACCGGTTTCGGAAGAAGCTGGTGATCGGACCCATACCGGTTCTGAAGGATGGAGAACCTCCATCATGTTCTGGGCCGTCGCACGTTACTCACAGAGAGGCGCCTTCTCAGGTACGCGTAATGGCTCGGTTTTGTCCACCAAAAAGTGCCAGAACTGCCGACATCCTCCTGGATCCGTGCCATAACGCTTCTCCAAAAAGTAACGAAATGTCGAATGGTCGACCATTTTTGTTAGACTCAGATGGTTTTGATGGCAAAGAGCAAATACTATCAATTCGACCGATTGTGGAAAAACTGGCAGAGGCCCTGCGGCCCAGAATGGTACAGAATGACTTCCAGTCCCGGATATCGGTCGGCCTTTCATCCTTTGACGGCGAAACCACCTGGTCATTACTCTGAAGCATGGTCACCATCGAATCCTAATGCGGGCTAGCTAGTTAAAGTGCTGCAAGCAGTTCAGTGTTAGGACCGTCACATATTGCCTCTTACCGAAGCGCTGTCACATATAGCCGCGACACTGCGTCCACTTTGCTATGCCGCCACAGTGCCACATGTCGGTCATATCCCAACAGCCCCAAAGCCCACCGGACCAACTTAGCTGAGACGTATCTCTTGCTTTGCAGATGCTTGTAACGCGCTACTGTCGATGGCCATCATAATGTCGCTCAAACAGGTATGAAATGAATCGTCCGGGCAATAATCAGTCGATCTCCGACGAATACCAGTTTGCCTCTTGGACCGAAAAACGTCTACCGACGTAGGCTGGCACGCACTTCGCGGCCCCATCAAGCTGGAGGAGCACCGCCCCTAGGTCAGTGTCATCTCTGTCCGTCCGTACTTGAAACGGTAAATCTTCTCGGAAATGTTGCAAAATAGACTCGTTAATCCGGGTTCCCTCTAGAGCCAGCAATGCCACTAATGAAGCGCAGAGCATGCAAAAAAGACGTCTGCTTTCAGCATATCTTACAAACTGTATTAGATTGTGCGATCTGGGCAAAGACCCGAACAAGTCGGCGGCAGCAAGACGCTGACTTCAAAAAGCTCCGTAACTCGCTAACAGTAATGGGTGGCGCTTAGACATCTATTATCACGCTCTTCTCTGAATCAAAGATTTCTTGCGAGAAAACTCTATACCCGGTGCACACGATTACCTGCACAACGCAGGAACTTCCACGTCTAAATGTGAATATCAGCACCACTGAGGAGAAGTACTTACCGGAGATGAGGCAAATGCTTCTCAAACCCTGGAACGAATACAGTGATGTGATTAAGATAGACTAGAGCCATCTGGCGCCGCAGCATACTTAGTACTAGGCTTATCAGTCGCTGAAACGTTGCCGAAGCATTGGCATTTAGATCCTTCTTAACATATAGAAGGCACCGTCGATTCGTTGAAATGGGAAGATGTTTCTTTTTGTAATCGCATTACTTTGTAACTTGTGGTAATCCACCATCAGATTAATTCAGGCTATTACCGATATAGGATATGAGGAGTCTCCTTGATGGACGAAGAACCGTCATGACTGTGAGTCGAGCTTAGAAATGGTGGATACTTTCGAGCTCGGCCTACTCTGCTACCCTTTTTCACACTAACCGGCCGTCGTTCAAAGTCAGTGATTAAGAAATCACACACTTCTCACTCAATAGTTACCGTACTACACAGGGTCATGAAGTTGCTTATGGGAGATGCATACAAGACCCGATCCACTTGACCCGTAGACCTTGGAAACCCAATAGTCGCGACTACTTACTTTAATTCCCGTATGTCGGCTGGCTTTTCTATTAACTGGACGAGGCATACCACTTTGTTTACTGCTCAGAATCACATAGAACTCACGCAGCGTGACGTTCCACGATCGTATACGCTGGCAATCAACCTTAAATTGAGTCCGTCCTCAGTACATATAACATACCGCGTCAGTACAGCGATTTCTGGGGCTATATTGGACCGATGTACTCCCCTGTTTACCGACTGCGTTTCTTCGCTGCAGTCCGGCGTATAACGCCGGGCGGCCCGGTTCTGTGAACAGGATACGTTACCACAATGAAGTTCGTAAAGGGTAAAAACATCGCTGATCTGTTTGTACTGTATAGCTAGTTGCAACTTATACTAGAAAGCTCGTTTGGCCTCGTACGTGCGACCTATACAGACACAAGACTCTTTATTGAAGGAACAACATGGTTATACATGCATTTGACATACACCACACTGACCGATGCCCTCCACACTTAGTCTTATACATCATTGGTTCACCTGTTCTGTTAAATCCGGCAGTTACCTAGTACACAAGCAGTACCAGTATGTGTAGTTGATCTACGTTTGACTACCTAGTAGATTTCCTGTTTCAAAAACTTTTGTAATTAACATAAGAGGCCGTCGGTTTCTACAACCACGGAAGATTTTTTGAGAAACTCTATCGAGCGAATCCAGGAGGAAAACATTGATGTTTTTTAGTAATCGCGTAGTGTAGACTTGCCTTAAAAGCTATAATTTGTCAAACTCATCAACGTAAATACACAAATCTGGTTATGATTCTATTTGCTGCGTAAATACAGCTGAATTTATTTTTAGAAACAATAAACAATTTACTGAGGTTTTTGTTTTCTGCTGACGTGAACGCACATGTTTATATTAGCAAAAGTAACAAAAAAGAATCTTTTTTGAATGAACTACGCTGAACTCGCAAATATCCAAGACCCACATAAGTGCTGCGTACTTCCATGCCCTGAATTAGATCGGAATAATCGTATAAATACTCCACTCTTCGAAATAAAAAAAATTGAATATCCAAATTAAAAGCAAAGACAAATTAGCTCAGGAATGATTTAACAATAAATGAAACCCAGTACAAACCTTTCAAACCTTTTAGTCATATTGATAAAAAGCTAAGTCTTTAAATTAAAGATGCCAACGATCAACGAGTGTTTCTTATGTATTGCTAGGTTCTATCCTAACATAAAGCTCAATCTTAAAAAACCACATATAGTCTAAAAGACAGTTTCAGAATACGGTAAACCTAACAAGAAAGACGTACTTGTCTTTCTTCAGACGAATGAAGAAATGCGAAAATACAGGACATAAAAAATAGAGAGAACCCATCTTACCTAGCTTAGAGCTATATTTTCTAAAATTGACTCAAAAAAATTGATTGTGTAATGATCGTCATATTGAGCTTTATGGCATAGTCAATTATATTTCGAGCATAAATGAAAGTGAATGCCGGAATACGACACAAAAAATTTTGCGAGAATCGATAGGCCTTATGGTATAACTCATCCTGATGAACACCTAATATATATTAAAAAGCGTTGCTTTTCAATGTAGCCAATCGAAAATATGGAACGCACATATTTAATAGATTTTTTTCTTTAATTGAGTTTCAAAGGGCTAGTGCATTTGTAATATCTAAGCATTTTCTGGCATTTCACTAAACTTTTGATTCAAGTTACTAGTTTATTGCTCTATCACAATCCTGCTTATGCCAAAACAAAGTGGAATTAAGTTGTAAACTCATTCTACTTAGCAGCACACCCTAGGGATAATTTGGAAAATTGTATTTTGGGAAAACATGAATTGAACCTTCACGAGGTACATTTTAATAACGCGAATGTGTCAACGCGTATATGTATTAGAATAAACTAAGGCACAGTATTATCTGCTTTTGATGTAATTGTTTTTAAAAGAAGTTTAACTGCCCAATACCAATATGGACGAGCAATATTACCAACATACGCATCTCGCTGCGAATAAATGAGATCATGGATCAGGATCAACTATAGATAATTCTTTATACTAGAATTATGGATAATTAAAAGCACGACAATTCTACAAGTTCAGTGTAGTAAAGTAGCTTTCGAACATGATGTCAATATGTTTATATTGAGTAGCGTGATTTTATATGACTAATCATAACCCTTCACTTAGATAATTTGGCAAAAAGTAACTATGAAACTTCCTTTAGCTATGATCACACCCTTTTATGGGAGACTGGCATTATTCGGTTAGTGTCTTCGACTGATTGATTCCTCGCATGAATATTTACTGGTCCCAGCCTCCCACCCCTGATCCATTTGACCCTACAAGGCGAGGTCAACAAGGTCATATATAGACTCGACCTTGTATATAATGGCAAGTATCATGTTTGCCACATGTCATTAGCGTTAACCAAATACCGCGCGTGACTGTTTTTGAAACAAATTGTGACGACCTTGTATCTATAGTGCACCGTTCAGACTAAACGACACAGCCAAGAGGTGCATCGCATTCCTGGTTATCGCCATAGTTATACAGACTTATTGTCACAAGTTACAAATTATGTTTGCAAAACGGCACATAGTGACTTTTTTCCTTAAATTATTGCATAAACCTCTGCGACTCCTGGTGGCGCCAGCACGAAATGGCAGTTTAATCTTCTCTAACTAAGATCATAGAATGAACACTTTCCTCTTAGCTTTGAACGACTGAGTTATTCGTATAAAATGATCAGTCCTTTCAGCACAGCGTTAAGCGCTTCTTGCTATTGAATTAATCCGGAACAAGCGGGCAAAAAAAGGAAACGTAAAGTTGCGCGTGATGCAGTTAGTAATTCAGGTAGTGTTGTCCTCTATTGTAGAACGGACTAATGGCTACGAATATTACGGACCGAATCGGCTTTTGCATCACAAATCGAAACGGCATAGCCATCTGAAGTTCGATTAGCAAAAGGGTCGACGAACACAAGCTTCTTGTTACATTGGTTGCTAGAAAAACGCCGGCTGAGAGCGCAAAAATAATAAATAGGTAGAAAAAAAAATTGACTTTTCAAAAATAACTCACAGAAGTTTCTTTGTGTTGTTCACCCCAAAACTTCGAAAGAAGCCATCTTTGACGAAATATGCAGAGTACTTTGGACCCACAAAAGCGATATTAGTTTGCAGATATGAGTCCTAACGGTGTTAGCGGTTTCAAATGAACTTTTAGCCAATACGAGCAGAAACTTGCAATGGACTTAAAGGCTCCTAGCAGAAACGGAGCTGACATCATTCGCGATGACGGTAGAGATATCAACAAATATGGATAGCATACTGTAACAACGGAGAAGATTTGAATAAACTCAGAACAGCCAATGATCGGATTCATCTGCAACAACCAAAATTGGAAATCGTATTGACAGATATCAGAGTGCACCAAAGAGAAGTATCACAAGTGTTGTAAGGTGAATCACACAATGCCTCTTTCCCTTACAA